CAATTTTTTTATTTTTCTAACCAACCGAGGCTTGCTATCGTATTTTTTTGCAAGGATACGTGTAATCGAATAAAATCGGTCAAAACTGGCCATAACCAGGCAGGCCAAGGCAAACCATCATCGTAGGCACCAGACCGGTGCTGGAACACGGCGGCGTCGTCGTGCCGGAACCCTAAAATTGGTCAAAAAAGTTTTCAACACTAATTTTGAATTTTTTAAGTATTTTTTTATATGTGACAAGTATTTTGATTTTCGTAGGAAAAAGTTAAGAAATTCAGGGCCCGTTGGAAGGTGTAATAGATAATACGGTATTTCAAAACACCGATCTAGGCAATTATCTCTCACCATACTTTCTATTACGGTAATTGGGGCTTACTAATCGAATAACTTGTGTATGTGAAAAGTTAAAAAAATCCTAAAAATAATTATAGGTCACTAGTGGAGTCAGAAACTAGTTAGTGTACGATTGTCCTAACTCATTTGTGTCGCTTATTTATTTATTTTTTATTGTCTAAATTGTTTATTGTTCTACCGTGTTATTTAAGTTATTACTTTTATATTGCTTTCTCAATTATTGATTGTTTAATTGTTGATGTATAAAATTATACTGTTTACTTAAATGTCGTTTGATTGATCTGTGAATATAAAATAAGATGTTGGTATTTGATTGGTAGTTATTTTGTTGATGGAGATCTATATATAAAATACTTACTGGGTACTATGGAAAATGGTGGATGGATTTGGTACATAAGGAACCCTACTGTGAATATTACCTCAGTCTGACAAGGTTGAGAAGTCTCATATCAAAAGAGTTTTTGAGATATGGTTCACCCTCATACTGCACGAAGTATTGAGGTGATGGTGTGTTTGGCGCTCATTACCGAATGGGGTATGGAGACAACTGGGCTAATTGATAAATCTATATATTGGATTTACGAGTAGGAGAATGTCTCTATAAACTCCAAAGGTACCGGTAAACAGAAAATGATGTGAGTTTACTGTTATTGTTTATATAAATGTGTCATAAAAATGATATTCGAATTTATTGTCTTCATAAATCGTTTTGGAAAACTTGCAACGGTTAATAAAGAACAAATAGTTTTCTTTATATAAATGAATTTACTCAAATTAATGGTTACATTAGTTGTTTTATGATTTTTACCAACTTTCGATTTTTCGTATCAGTGATTAACGTAATATTTTTACTGAACTAGTGTAGCTCACTATTCTATTAATAATTTCATATCAAGAAAATCAATATATAAATCCTGATCAGTAGAAGAGTTGTGAATATATTACATTCCGAACTCTATCAAGTACTAGTGGAAGTTAACTCCTAATATATTTATTTTCTTGTTTTAATCATTTTATTCGTTTTTTTTTTTACAAATCGTTGTAGAATTGATATTCTCGTAACCTTATTGAGTGTTCTAATTTATACTGTAATAAATGTAAACTGTAACGTTATTATTTGTATATACATTTAAAATATAAATTCATGTTCTTTTAAATTTCAGGCTTTTACATAAAATATTAAAAAATCATAATCAATTACTTCATAATAAAAATAAAAATAGTCAATGCCATGAGTTCTGTCATGCTAAAACTAACATTGACTAGCATAGCTACTTATACCAAACATTCGTGTGAGTGTGTGTATATATATATATATATTATGTATACATATTGTGATTCAATAGAAACCATCTTGGTAATTTTAAAATTTTCAATATATACACACATATATAATAAATATATAGTACAAAGTCATTGTTGGAAACTTCATGTTGATGAGTAAAAGTTAAATGCGTTGGCATTAATTTTGTGGTGTGTAATTTCACGTCACATCTCCTTTGTAGAATTTTCAACGACCATTAAGTTTTTGAAAAAAGAAAACAAAATAAAGTATTAAATATAAGTTGCTTTTTGTTGACTCGGCCAAGCACTTGTAAATAATACTTATATATCTTCTTATATAAACTTCTTAATATGTATATATATATATATATATATATATATGTTCTCCATTTAATTCATGATAAATTATGTGGATAGAGTTTGACCGAATTAATTGGAATATTACTTAGTCAATTTTTTTTAAAAAAATAAATATTTTATTTAAATTACTATTTTTGTCCTTAAACAACATTTATGTAATAAAATTTTGTTAAAATAATATTTTAGTTATTTATGTAACGGCCCCTGAAATTCAAAGAAAATACATATAATAATTTGAGTGCAGAAGCGAAATAAAAAATTATAATTAACATCCCTTACACAATAACTAAAAGTACTAAACAAATATCACGGAATAAGTTCTCTAAAATAAATACAAAAAATG